TGTGATGGCAAAGCTGAATTTTCAGCAGCCATTTCCCTAGTCTTCAGTGTCACATGATCCTATAGAAATCATTCTTATTCATTAGAAGTCCTTTATAAATCCTTCTTGATCAAATTCTTATTATTATCAATGTTGAAAATTAATATTTTAATATTTATATTTAAAAAATACTTAATATTTTTTGTGGAAACTGTGATACATTTGAAAGAGTATTTGATGAATATAATTTTTACCATCATGCTGGATAAATCTATGCTGGATAAAAGCATTAAATTCTTAAAAAAAAATTTTTTTTTAAATTGTATTGTAATATTTAATGGAAACTAGAATATTAAATGGAATTTTAATATGTTTGAACTAAAAACTTACAATGTCTTCTATACTTTTGTTTGAGAAGTTGAGATGGGTCAGTTTCTTCAGATACTGCTGGAGAGATTCACTTCTGCAGGCTTTTGAGAAACTGCTTGATTTTGCGATCAGATGCACTGTTAGACGGACCATAATGACTGAGTGTGCAAAAATATCACTGGATAGATTTCTCTTCTGCAGTACAGCGTGTCAAGGGAAGAGGAAGATTTATGAGAATACACTAAAACAATGCATATAAAAACATAATCGAATACATTTTAAAGCACTGACCTCTAAATATGTTTCTATATAGATTTTAATCAGAATGTCTTTAAATGGGGTTTAAATGTATAATTGATGGGGTGAACATTATTTCTTTGATGATATGTACTTTAGAGACAGCATAGTCAATTGACCCTTAAACCTTTGTCAAAATACATATTTTTGAATAGTGGGAACGAGGCCAAAGGTGAAATAGACATGTGACCTGACCTAAGATTATCATAAAGGGAGATCTCTTCTCCCAAGAGCCAAAAAAAAAATATATATATATATATAAAGCCAATCCAGACCTACAGTAACACCTCACCAGAAAGGCCTCCTTGGAAAGACCTTGGATGATATTTTACTCCATATGCTTTCTATATTGTCTTGTCAACCACAGACATTGAACACTAGGACAGAAGTAAAGGGAATACATACATCAACACATGACAGCAGGTCGGTTTTACACTTGATCTCAGAGCTGCAGACTATGGGGAGATGACATGGAGAGCCTCTTAAAATCAATAACTTTCTGTGGTTAAACTCCAGGGAACTGGATGGAGACAGCAGTTTGTCAATCATTATAATATATTGCAGTATATTTCACATTTTATTACTAATAAACAAAGACAAGCAAATTAGGCTACTGTTGGCATACAATTATAACCGCGAACAGAAAAGGCACCTATGAACAGATGATACAGTAGAAATAAAATGAAACAGCACTGCATCTTACCTTAATCCACAAATGCTATACATGAACTGTCGTCAGCTATGAACGCAAAGTGTTTATTATAATTATTAATTAATTATAAGTGTTTTGCTGCTGTAAAGTCTTTTCTCTTCTCGGCTTTGTTTAGGAAGTGAGAGCTCATGTTGCCATGGCGACGAGACGCGCCAGAGTTGTTTCGAAGGAGCGCAGTTCAAAATGCGGCATGACGCATTCTCAACACAGATGGTAAACGTTTTTAATTGTTTTAAATTCCGCGTGAATTTTAGAACACGATGTTCATCGCATGTATTGTTGTGTGAAAAATGTGAAAGAATGTTTTTACTGATGTTGTTAAAAGTAATTTGTTCTGCCAGCTACTAAGCTTTAGCCTAATTAATTAAAGGTAGCACAGGTGTTTGTTACCAATGATTTAAGAAATTAAAGTTTAAAATGAATTAAAGGAATAACACAAATAAACGACCGAAGTCTATCAAAAAAATTTTTTTTAAACATGCCTATAGATGTTATTTATTTGGCTGAAAAAAGAGACAGAGAGAGAAGCCAAACATATTTTTAAAATTATTATTATTATTAAAATAATAATTCATTATTATTAATTAATTTATTCATGTTTTTGATTTGAAAGGAATAGATCATGCAAAAATGAAAATTTTCAAAAAATGTACTTGGTCTCACATCGAATTTGTGGATTTTGGCCTAAAGTTGTAGCAAGAGAGCATTTTTGCTCTTGTGATGACGACCAGGGTTTTATAAATCATAAGTTCAGCCAAAAAAGTTTATTCACCATCAGGTCATCCAAAATGTGGATGAGCTTTTTTCTTAATCAGAACAGATTTGGAGACATTTAGCATAACATCACTTGCTCACATATGGATCCTCTGCAGTGAATGGGTGCCGTCAGAATGAAAGTCCAAACAGCTGATAAAAACATCACAATAATCCACATGAATTCAGTCCATCAATTAACATTTTGTGGAAAGCTGCATGTTTTTTTGCTTTTATTAGGACAGGACAGTATGTAGACAGGAAGTGAAGTGGGAGAGAGAGAAAGAGGGGGTCAGGATTGGGACAGGTCCGTGAGTCAGGACTCGAACTTGGGATGTTCGAAGCGCAATGGTGCTATATGTCGGCGCACTGCCCACAAGGTTACTGGTGCGGCTTTAAAAATTATAAAATGAAGAGATTAAATTACACACTTAAAAAAAACACACTACATGTGTGCAGAGGATTGAAGAGAGAAAAACATTTGTTGGAAAAGAAAAACTAGGATTAAACCAAAACCTCGGGCCACCCTTAAGGCTTAAAGTAGACAAGACCCTTGAGCATTTACATGTTGAAATCAGAAACCATGTTTATCTACTTCAGCTGGTAGAACCACACATTTTCCCAAATTTGTAAGCTCAAACTGCTGCCCCTATTAATGCAGATCAGTTCTGGAGAAGTGCGGTGGCTTCGGTGGACTATTGTTATATACGGTGGAGGAATGTGCTTCCTGAGACTGAGTGACTTGCCTCCATTTATGTATGCAGAATACTTGGCACAAAGGAAATGTTGCTTTGGTTGGTTTAGGGATGCAGAGGGGGAGTTCTGCCCTTTTCAGACTCTCCTCTGGGGCATTGAACACGTTTCACCTTCTCGCTACCATGCTTGTTGAGATTATTATGGTCCAAAGAAAACATCAGTGCTACCAAATATCTTGAGGTCATTGGTCCCAAAGGCTAGTTTAACATTAGCCTTGTGATCAATAGCCACTGCCCATTATTTGTGCTCATCACTCAGATATATTCACTTAATCACATATCTGTCATAGTTCGTAATACTTATTTAAAACATTTTCTCTGGGTTCAGCAAATGAAGTGGAATTCCAAGTAATTTTAAGACTCTTGCTAATAGAAAACATACTTCAAAATTGAGTTAATGGATTTCACTGATGTTAGTTCACTCATGGAAAACATAATATACTTAGGCTTAGTTATATCTCATCTCATTTATACTCTTCTGCTTTTAAAAAAAAAATGCTCATCTGGTGATGATTATAAGCTTCATTTGTAATTCCAATGGCTGAAATACAGAACAATTCACTCATGGAAAACATAATATACTTAGGCTTAGTTATATCTCATCTCATTTATACTCTTCTGCTTTTAAAAAAAAAAAGCTCATCTGGTGATGATTATAAGCTTCATTTGTAATTCCAATGGCTGAAATACAGAACATATGCATAGGATTATTTTTGATGATTATGATTTTAAAGGAATAGTTCATGCAAAAATAAAAATTGTCTAAAAATGTACTTGCTCTCAGGCCATCAAATTTGTGTATTTTGGCCTGAAGTTGTAGCGAGAATGTTTTTGCTCGTGATGACGACCAGTGTTTTATTCCGTAGAGGATTAAATTAATTAAAGGAATAGTTCAGACAGAAATTTAGCATAACATCACTTGCTCACCAGTGGATCCTCTGCAGTGAATGGGTGCCGTCAGAATTAAAGTCCAAACAGCTGATAAAAACATCACAGTAATCAACAAATAATCCACATGACTCCAGTCCATCAATTTGTGGAAATATGCATGTTTTTAGCAAACAAATCCATCATTAAGACTTTTTAACCATTTCTTCTTTCCACATTATTAATTTTTAGTCTGGAGTGGATTATTATGATGTTTTTATCAGCTATTTGAACTCTCATTCTGACGGCACCCATTCACTTAAGATGATCCACTGGTGAACAAGTGATGTAATGCTAAATTTCTCCAAATCTGTTTCTTATAAACAAACAAACTACATTTTGGATGGCCTGATGATGATTACATTTTCAATAAATGTAAATTTTTGGCTGAACTATTTCTTGAATTAATTCAATACTCTACGGAATAAAACATTGGACGGCATCACAAGAACAAAAAACACACTCTCGCTACAACTTCAGGCCAAAACCCACAAATTGCACGGTGCATAATTAAACAGACTCTGATGCTTTCTGGAACATAACAGAAAATCTTAAAATTAGCACAATGATGTGGGGTACAAAAACGTACATGAATACGAAGTCAGCACTATTGTCTGTAAGAAAATGCAGGCACGTGGGTGTGCATGAAACCACACGGGCGTTGAGTGTCTGCTGCGATAAAGAGCAGACATGCAGGGCTGAATAGACTCCACTGTATCGAGCTCCTGTTTCTGTGATGCATCAGTGACAGGCCACAGCGGAACGCTCAGAATCCTGAAGGATTGTGTACCACGCAGAGACAACCTGCACAGGGTCATCCTGACAGATGCGCTGCGGCCATGCCAAGCTGTGTTTATCTTTGGGCCGTTGAGTTTGTTATTCCATTATGTAATGCTATGACTGGCAAATATGAAAATGACCTCTTGTGGAGCACTGTGGTTTTTGTTAAATATAATGTTGAATACCGCTGTTACAGCTCCCGACACAAGCTGTGGGAAATGGGAATGGTGCTGTACCGTATTACACACTGAACCCAGAGGAGAATATATTTCAAATGTCTAAGCACTAAGGAAAACACATTTGTCTTGATCTAAAGGACAGCTTTGACGATGAGCTGGGCGAGTTATAATTTCAGACGAGACTTTAGCAGTAAATGTGATGAAATTAATTTCGTAAATTAAGATGAAGCAAAAAACACCTAATGTCCGTCAACGAATCAACCCGAACAGCATTTATTTCTTTGTTTAAACAAATGATAAATGACGCAAACATTCCTACAGGAGAATTCCTCTGAATCTTTCAAAGCAGAATCGTAACGAAGGAACACATAACTAAGCAAACACTGCATGTGAAGTCATCTAACTTAAGTTCCTTCCAAGTTTAGTTGGAAGATGTGTTCACTTGATTGAAGAGTTTATCTTTGATAACCTGGGACATCAAACCATGAATTGCTTCAATGGTTGTCTTGCAGCTGAAAAGCAAAGAAAGATGTTTGATCATGTATTTATCAAAATGTTAAACTTTATTTAAAAAAATTATGTCATTGGTTGCAATAAGTACAAGTCAAAAAGTAGGGACCCTTGCACCAACACAGACACTCAAGTCACCTATAAGCTCACACAAAATAAATGTGGAAAAAAAGTAAATAAATAATCTTTTATAAAGAAAAAGAAAAAAAAGAAAATAATAAATGTGATGTCAGTATTCTATTCTCAATACCCAAAAGAATTTAGCCCCAATCAATCAAATAAACACGTAAATAAATAATCTTTTATAAAAGAAAAATAAAGATGGGGAGAGCAAAAAAGAAAAAAAGGTAATCTATTTTTATCCAGTTTTATACATTTGTTATACATTATAGATTTTATATTCATTCCAAAAATCTAAAACAACAATAACGTTGTTTACAATTTTATTTTAAAAAGCATAAAAAAGGAAAACAACATATGACCTCACACAAAATAAATATGAATAAATGTGAAATCAATATTATTTTCAACACTCAAATTATACAAATTTACCCTCCTGCCCCATAAATAAACATATTTAAAACAAAAAACGACTTACAGCTTTATTTAGAACTGTGATTGTGTATAAAGCACTTTAAATTTTTAGTGTGCATGACATTTGAAAATAAATAAACTTGTCTTGGCTTGTTTGTTTATTTCCACTTATTTATACTATCATAATTCACAATATATTATGAAAGGAAAAACTTTATACTGAATAGAATTGATAGGGATCGTATTACCTGTCACGTGTTGCTTTTGCAAGTTTATCCTCAGATTTCCTATCATGAGTATCTAAGCCCAACATGAAACTGCCTCGTCCCAGCTGAGCTTCTGCCTGCTCGAGCTTCTCAGACAAGTCAAACACCTGTCCAGTGGTGTAGTCTGCATTCTGAAGGAACAAGAGCCATTAAAAAAAAGCTTACTGTTTGCAGTGCACTCCAAAGTCTTCAATCTTGTTAAGTGGTATAGTTTGGTATTCAGATGGACCCTCATCTGGAGGCTTGTAACCCTAGCGTTAAAATTGAAATATGTGATGAAAAATCTTGTCAAACTCCTATAAATGAATAGACAAATAAATGTAAAATACTACACAGTTACGAAAAACATTTTACTAAAAAAATCTTCCTACCTTTGGATATGTCCTGAACGCTCCAAGATTGACCTTCCCTGCGGATATAGTCCTTGTGGGATCAATCTGAGAAGGATGAAAAATTACAAGGACTGTAATAAGCAAAACAGTTCAGTCAAATATAACAAATAAAAACACTGAGCTGCCAGTTTAGCAAGTGAAAGTTATGAGCACCAGCTCGCTATTTGCCCTCAGCACAAAATAAGCAATAGCAGCGAAGGGTAAACTGTATAATGTATTCAGTTACAAAGCCAACAGCCATTAATCAGACACCACTACAAATGTCACCAAACTCATTTGTATTTTGTGGGTCAATTATGGATCACTGTTATTACTGAATTTAAACTGATACTTTAACAATTTCGTAGCTGAGCTATTTTTCCCCATCTGTCTTTAGAGATTGATGGTAACAGGGTTTAGAGAGGACTTTGCAAAATCGGCCCTAATGCAAAAAAAGCAACCAGTTTAACATTTTCAACAGCTCTTACCACTACTGCGACAAAGGGTTCTTGAAACTGCTGGTTAAGCATCTGAGTGCTGACATCTATGCCTGAAAGCCAGCAGCCGTATCCAGGATGACTGTGGTACCATCCAATGGCATTCTCCAACCGCCCCACCTAAATGAATTCAGAAATGATGAGCCTCAGAATTACTAATATATCATCATATGCTGGTCATGACTTTCATGGGGAGTTAATGCATAATTTGTCTATGAATGTATAAAGTGTATATTTTAGTTCATGTGACTGTTTACGATTTACTTTTAAATGACCTTTTTTCAAATGGTCTTTTTATGTGATATACATGGTTAAAAGTGCAATTGTCCCATGTAGTCTCTCAATTATTACATTATGAAAACTGAATGCATAATAATTCTAAAAGTATTAGTAAAATATTTTTAGATGAGTACAGCATATCACACCAAGATGCAGCAAACACAACACTTGTTTATTTTAGTTCCTATGACGGTTTACCGCTTACTTTACGATTTTTACTATTTTTTTATCACCTTTTTGCCTTCAATAATTAATTTTTAATGGTCTTGTTAAGTGATAAATATCTTTAAAGTACAAATATCCCATTTAATCTCTCATTTAATATTAGATCTTAAAAACTTAATGTGTAGTATTTATAGAAGTAAAATATTTTTAGATGAGTACAGCATATAACAAAGATGCAGCATACATAATTCGTGTATACTGTGATTTCTGTGAATAGTCCTCATTTATTAATTATTTTAAATCACACTTGCGCTTTTATTGATTTATTTCAAATGGTACTGTGATGTGATACAATTTTAGAAGTGCATATATCCCATGTAGTCTCTCAATTAACATTAGATTATGCATATTAATTATAAATGAATAAGTCAGATATTTTTAGATGAGTATCATATATATAATGCATGTATATTTTAGCAGCACACTGCACCACAGAAAAACTCAAGATTCAGCATATCCAGTGTACCTGCTGTATAAAGCTGTGGATAGTACTAACATATTTAAAAACAAAGTGTGGGTTTGTTCTTATTATTTGCCTAATATGAATTTCAGACAATGCATATGGGTTAGTGTACCTGTTTAGCATTCTCTATATAGGCAGCCATGTATTCATAGGCTGCAGCCTGAGCATTGACTCGCGTTTCAGTGCCCTCCACGGGTAGAGCGAAACTGTCCATGATGATCATGGTCTCTCCATCCACCTTCCCCAGCATAAGTCCCATCACCTCTAGGTTTCCTCCAGATCGGGCATGCATCACCATCTTCAACAGTGCCAAAGCTGATATCTTGCAGTATTTAAAATAATGATGGCTGTAAACAACAAAAGCAGTATGGAGAACTGTTATTCATCATTCGAAAACAATTCAGGCCTCTTGTAGAGGAATAAATTCGTATGGTGTGGTAAACTCACTCTTTAGTCCACGGCTTGGCTGCCAGAATCTCTTGTTGTTGTTTTTTATCATACTTATATATTTCATCAATACTTTGAACTTCCTGCATGCTGTTTGACAGCTCCCATGTTTTCATCGCTATGCTACTGCCAGCCATAGCTAGAGTCGGATTTTACCTCCGGATTAACTATAACGAAGTATGTTCAATACTACTTGCAATTTACGAGATTTAAAATACTAGATAATATCGCAGAGCGTTTAGTTTATCTAAAAATGTAAACGCAGCATTTAGCAATCATTCACAAAGCTCTCCTGTATCCCTTTACTGACCAACTCTCAGACCTGAGTGAAGCTAGCGACCAAACGCGTTACTTTGGAATTATATTAGTGTCAAAATAAAAGTCTCAAAGGAATTCGACTGTACTTATTGTTGTCAAATTCGCTTTCTCTGCTTATTAAGGTTTCCTTTTATTCATTAATTAATGGTTTATTATGTCTGTTTTTAAATCAGTTTCTTTATGTTTACCTTTTACGTTTCTACGATTAAGTTTCTTTTATTTTTTTATCTCTCGTTTGTTACATTTGAACTACTCAGTTGATGCTCTTTAGTATTCTGCTGAAGGTGTTTGTACAGTATCATATTTGTCAAAAAAAGTATCATATTTGTCTGTTTATCATTTTAATCTAAAAAACATGACCATTTAATTTTTTACTACTATATTTTAAGACTACTATTTAGTATAATGGGACAAATAAATTATGCAAATGTGAAGGAAAAAGGCCAAAATGAGTATTTCATTATAGCATATCAAAATTTAAAGTGCAATTTGGATTTTTATTTGTATGCTACTGTTCAAATATGGCGATATTAATGTTTTTATGTGAGTTACATGAAAAGGTATAATACAATTTTAAATTAATGTCATAGTCGTAATATCATTGACATTATTTAAGCTAATTAAACTTTGATTTTCTTTCATTTAAAAAACACATTATTAAAGTGGTGTATGTTTTCCTGAAGGAAAAAAAACTCACAGGGAGTAAACTACATTTCCCAAAATGCATTGCACGATTTCCAGTTCAAAGGTTACCACTACAAGGAAGTGAAGAAAAGTTCTAAATTAATCTGCTTACAAACTGTTTGGTTTAGTTGGTCAAAAGCCAAGTTGATCGCCAGACATATAACAGTACGCTAAAACAGATGAAAAGCCTGTGTGAAAGACGCGTTTTATTTAGAAGCTGTGTCTCGCAGCAGATCATTGACAGTAACTGATGGACTGATACACATTTATTCACCTTCATCTAAGCGACTTTTAACCGGAAAAGGTAAGATTTTATTTTTATTCACTCATACAATTGTTAAAAATATTTGCAAATGTTACTTCTGTGATGACTATCATTTTGAAAGTACAGTCATGTTAATATGTAATGTCTTTAAGCCAAAATTCAAAAGACTTTAAAATATAACTGAATGCATTTCAAAAGTCCAGCTTTTCTCTTGTCTTTCTTTCCTTTTTCTAAATCAGTGCCACAGGTCTGACAGCAGACACGATGAAGATGATGACATTCTTCATCGTGGGACTCATTGTCTATGTAGTCTTCTTTCTCTCAATATTTGACATCTATTTCACATCCCCTCTCGTCCATGGAATGACTCCACAGCATGTCCCTCTGGCCCCTCCGGCCAAGTGCCTGGTGCTCTTTGTGGCAGATGGTCTGAGAGCTGACAGTCTCTTTAAGCCAGACGACAATGGGACAGTCAGGGCTCCTTACCTAAGGTGATGAGCGTGGAATAATCTTATCATGCATGTGCTTGTCCTGTTTACAAATGTGGTCCAGAAAAGGAGATGTTTAATGTTTTTGGATGGTTTCCATAAAATGCATTGAATTTCAATTTAAAGAGAGAAAATCACTGACATTATTTCAATCTTAATGGAATTTTGATCATCTATCATTTAAAACTTTTTAGATTTTTTTTATAGAGGTTTATGAAATAAGATGCATGTTTATGAAAATGCATTTTATGCAGATTGAATGAGAAAATATTACACTTATAAGCACTGCAATTATTCTTTATCTGCTATGAATGTCTAAAATGTCTAAAAAAAGTGTTTGTTGTGTTCTTTATAGTGTATAAATGCATTTAACTTGTGCTTCTTATTGTTTTCTGTCATAAGGAGTGTGATTGAGGAGAGCGGCACATGGGGAGTGTCTCACAAGAGACGAGAGTCCCTACGGAATCACGTCCAGGTCACGTGGCTCTAATAGCGGGTTTTTATGAGGATGTTAGTGCTGTTGCCAAGGGTAAGCAGCAGTCGCATGTGTGTTTCTGTATAACCTTTACGTGTGTAAACTTATTGCATCACTTATTTCCGTGCTTACAGGCTGGAAGGAGAATCCAGTGGAGTTAGATTCTGTTTTTAATGAGAGCAGGCATTCCTGGTGTTGGGGAAGCCCTGATATATTACCGATGTTTGCTAAAGGTATAACCACACACCTGTGAATAAACAGTATAGTGACATTATTTGGTAGCTTTACCAGCATGTGTGTTTTATAGGAGCCACTGGAGACCATGTGTACACTCACACTTACCCTCCAGAGCGGGAGGACTTTGCCTCCACTGATGCTTCCAGAATTGATACATGGGTATTTGATGAAGTGAAGGTAGAATGCTTTTATGTAGGGGCTTTTAAGTAATTACTTTTGATGAACTAAACTTAAAAAAAACACAACTGTTATTTCGGCTGTGATACATATTAAAGCATGGCCCAGCATTTAGAAGTCTGCTATTCAAAAAAATCATAAACAATTGTTTAAACTTGAACAGTACAACATGCTTTGTCTAAAATTATTTTAAATAAAATTTCTAAATAATTTCCTAAATCTCGGATAATAATTATTTTTATATTTAGAAATATTAGTTAAAAATATATTTTCTCTATTTTAATATATTTTAAAATGTAATTTGTTGAATGTTCAGTAGCCATTACCCCAGTCTTCAGTGGCAGAAGATCCACATGTATCATTTTGATTTTGAATTTTTGTATCAGTGCTGTAAGTTGTGCTGCTTAATATTTTTGTGGAAACACTGATACACTTTTTCAGGATTCTTTGATGAATAGAAAGTTCAAACGAACAGTATTTATTTGAAATATAAATTTTTGTTACAGTATATATGTCTTTATTGTCATTTTTAATCAATTTAATGCATCATTGCTTAAAAACATTAACTTGATTAAAAAAATTATTTTACTTTGCCCTATACGTTTGAAAGGTCTGAAACCCTGAAAAGATCTTGTAATAAATACGGTGAGGATATGATTGAACAGCTTGGCTAAATTATCTTATTTCTTTTTTTTTTTTCATTAAGAATTTTCTCAGTGGTGCCAAAAGCAATGAAACTCTACTGAATATGTTACATGAAGGACAGAATGTGTTTTTCCTTCATCTTTTGGGGATAGACACCAATGGCCATGCCCACCGACCCATGTCAAAGTAAGTAAAAAACATCACCACATTAGACATTGTAATGTGATTAACAACACCTTTTATCTTTTTATTTTACTGTTTTCCCTTAAGACAATTTGGAGTAATGTTTGTTATAAAAAGTGAAAGATAAATGGAATTTTATTGTAGCATAGTGTAAACTGTAAGTTTTTATTTATACACTGAATGCATATATTCAGAACACCTTAGATAAGATGTACCACTAGGTGGCGCTACTGCCATTGTCAAATTCTCAAATGTAATATTTTCTGCACTTACAGGGAATATCTAGAGAACCTGGTTGATGCTGGTGTCGCTGAAATTGTCACTATGATGGACGACTTTTATGGGCATGATAGAAAAATGGCTTATGCTTTTACGTCCGACCATGGCATGATAGAAAAATGGCTTATGCTTTTACGTCCGACCATGGCATGACAAATTGGGGTAAAACATGTCTGACCTAGTCTTTATAACTTTAAAACTTAAGAAATCTGTGACAGGAAACTTTGTTAAAAAGGTTCATAAATTACTTTTATCTCTCCGAATGAAGTCAATCTTTTAAGAATAAAATAATTCACTTGATTTATATTACGGTTCAAGTTCAAGTCAGCATTACAAAATAACATTTTGTGTAGAAGAATCGGTAATTTATCACTTATGAATCTGTTCAATGCAGTATATGGATTAACAACACCTTTTATCTTTTTATTTTACTGTTTTCCCTTAAGACAATTTGGAGTAATGTTTGTTATAAAAAGTGAAAGATAAATGGAATTTTATTGTAGCATAGTGTAAACTGTAAGTTTTTATTTATACACTGAATGCATATATTCAGAACACCTTAGATAAGATGTACCACTAGGTGGCGCTACTGCCATTGTCAAATTCTCAAATGTAATATTTTCTGCACTTACAGGGAATATCTAGAGAACCTGGTTGATGCTGGTGTCGCTGAAATTGTCACTATGATGGACGACTTTTATGGGCATGATAGAAAAATGGCTTATGCTTTTACGTCCGACCATGGCATGACAAATTGGGGTAAAACATGTCTGACCTAGTCTTTATAACTTTAAAACTTAAGAAATCTGTGACAGGAAACTTTGTTAAAAAGGTTCATAAATTACTTTTATCTCTCCGAATGAAGTCAATCTTTTAAGAATAAAATAATTCACTTGATTTATATTACGGTTCAAGTTCAAGTCAGCATTACAAAATAACATTTTGTGTAGAAGAATCGGTAATTTATCACTTATGAATCTGTTCAATGCAGTATATGAATATACTTCCAGGAGAGTGGATGTCAATCAGGTGAAATTTTCGGACTCGTTTATTTACGAATTGTCTATAAATGACAGGAACACAGCTGAGCTGAACTGAACTTTTTATGCTATTACAGGCTGATATTGCTCCACTAATGTTATCGCTTATAGGAGTTCCCTTTCCTTTGAACTCTGTGGTGAGCATGATTTTCAGAGCTTTCCGATCACGAGTTTATATCATAGAGCAGTGCACTTCTAAATATAGACATGCGTGCACTTTTTATATGATTTTATTAATGCATTTCTTGCATCACAGGGTGTCTTACCTGAATAACAGCCAGCACTTTAAGGATGAGAGCGTGTATGCAAATGCAATTCAGATCTTGGAACAGTTCAGGGTAAAGTACAGTACATTTTGGTCTATTCTGTCTGTTTTAATTACAAACCCGATTCCAAAAAAGTTGGGACACTGTACAAATGGTGAATAAAAACAGAATGCAATGATGTGGAAGTTTCAAATTTCAATATTTTATTCAGAATACAACATGGATGACATATCAAATGTTTAAACTGAGAAAATGTATCATTTTAAGGGGAAAATGTTGATTTTAAATTTCATGGCATCA